GCCTTGCTGTAGTTTTTACAGAATAGAAAATAATGTGAGGAGAATACATATGTTCCTATTTCCTAGGATGTCATATCACCCGTGATCGGTGATTTGATAATATTATTACACGAATTAAAATACGTGTTAAACGGAGTTATTACATATATTCGCTCATAATTTTGAGTGTTTCTAAAAATACATATGTATAATAATTTACCAAAGATTTCCTTTCATTTTCTAATTTTACATTCAATTTTTTATTTTTATATTTCTCTAATTTCGCCTTAAATAAATTGCAATTAAAATTATTGGACTTGTTATTTTTATTAATTTCCCATTCAAGTTTTAATTTATTAAATTCTTCAAAATTATTATTTGATGAAATTATACTTTCGATATTTTGAAATAATTTATTTATTTCATTTACATGACAAATATTTTGCTACAAAAAATTAATAGACTTAGAAAAAATTTGAAAAATATTTCTATGGCCAGACTAATATTAAAAATGGTTAATTAAATCAAATCTTAATATTTTGGGTATTTATAATGAGAACTGACTTTAACCTATATTTGACCTATAATTTCAAAATTTTACCTTATTTTTATACTTCATAATCTTTTGATTAGCACTTAATTTATGTTTTTTGTTGAATTTTAACTTGTCATCTTTATCTTTCTTCAATTTTATATTTTTCTTTAACTCATCAATTTCTATAAAATCTGATTGAAAATAAAATAATAATTATTCTAATTATGTATCAGGAAATGTTATCGACACTGGGGTTATAATGGGGGGGGGGGGTATCAATATTTTCCAATAAAAATCACCTTCATTTTTATTTAAATTCATCTCCTTATTTGTCTCATCCATTAATACTATTTGCGTATTTGAGGAAATATTTTTTATATTTTTGTTACTAGTATTGGTAAATCCAAGTTCATCATCTTCACTGTCTGGCAATAAATAATCACTTCCTTCTTCACTCTTTGAATTGCTAATTTCTTTGCTATAAATACATAGTAGTTACTATTTAATATCTAATAGAAAACGTCCATGACCGAAAATTTTCTAAGATTCGAGATCAAGACCAAGACTAACCCGAAGACCCAAGACCAAGACTTGTCCCCAAGACCAAAGAGTAACAAGATTCAAGACAATTTATTGGTTCCATGGGACGAATGGGACCAATCTCTCATTCCACTCTTACAAAGGGCCCGAGGGATTACGTAATATAGAGAATTCTTACACACTTTTCATTTTCTGCATTAATCAAAGCTTCTTTATCCTTAACCTCAGTCTTTTTCGTATTATTAGACTTTGTTTTCCTAAATTTATTTTTTCGCCTGGTTTTCTTATCATTGGAATACTTCTTGACAGAGTTAGCTTCATTATTCACTTCGACCTTCCCTTCTTCCTTTTCCACCTTTTTCTCTTTAGTTACTCCGTGAGTCCTTTCCTTTTCTTGATCGTTCTTCTCTTTCTTGTTCCATTCAATCGGGTTTTCTTCTTCTTCATTTTTCTTTTCTTCAATATTTACATCAGTCGTCCTTTCATCTTCTTCCCCTTCTTTTTTCTTTCTCTCATTATTTCCTTCAATCCTCCTTGCCTCTTCTACGTTTTTCTTCTTCTCTTCCTTATTCATTTCAGTCTTCTTTTCTTCTTCGTCATTATTTTCTTCATTATTCCCTGCAGTTTCCCTTTCATCTTCTTCTTCCTCCATTTTCTTCCCTTCATTATTCCCTTCAATCATACTTTTCTCTTCATTATTCTTCCTTTCTTCCCTATTCCATTCAATCTTCTTAGCTTCTTCTTCATTTTTCTTCTCTTTAATATTTCCTTCAGTCTTCTCTTCTTTTTCTTCAATGCTTTTCTCTTTATTATTCCTTTGTGCCCTCTTATCTTCTTGATGTTCTGTTTCTACCTTATTATCCTCTTCCTTATTATTTTCTTCATTTTTATTCCCCACTTCCTCCCCTTCAATATTAACTATATTCTTATCTTCATTTACTTTAACTAAATTTTCTTTCACCCCCACATTTTTTACTCCTTTTTTCTTCTTGGATTTTTTCTTATTTCTTGAATTATTATTTTCTTCCTTAATTTCTTTAATCTTTTCTAAATTTTCTTTATTTTTTAATTCAACATCTTCTACTCCACAAATATTTCCTTTAACCATTTCTTTATTTTCTTGGATCATTTCGTTTTGTTGATTACACTGATTTTCTTTTTTTATTTCTATTCGTAACTCGCTAGGTTTAATTTTAATTTTTAAGACCTCAAAAATATCTCTCATATTATTTTCATCGAGGTTGAACGCGAAAGCAAATTTATCAATGTCAATTTTGTGAGAAGTGAGATCTAAAAAATTTATTTTATTTTATTACAACTATACTTCATTTTATATAATAAATTATACAAAAGAAAACTTAGAGAACAACAATAATATTTAAAATCCTTAATCGTCCTAAAGCTTATTTTTAAGCTTTCAGTTGACTTATATGTATAATATTAGTTACTTTATGCTCTGCATTCTAGTGATAAGACTGAGGCGATATCACGAACAATATTCGTTTATCGAAATCGTATTTTCGAGATAAGACTCTCCCAGTTCAGTCTTTATTCCATTATACTATTTGAATTGAAAAATTAAATTATTAAAATCTAATCTAAATTTGTCTTTCGCCTACTAAAGAATAGCTAGACTCGTTTGAGTTGGCGTAATCTAGTATTTGCTTTATTGAATCTTTTATCTCATCAAATCAACAAACTTTAAATTTAAAAATTAATTAGGTACCTTCTTTCAATCTATCCAAAAAATAATTAATTTCTTTTACTTGTTCCTCCATATCAGTATTATCACTATCCTTAATTTTCTTCCCTTTTTGATCAACATTTTTAATGATCTCAATTTCTTTAAATAATTCATCTTTCATTAAGGCTTTTATCCAATTTATAAAGATTTTTTTATTTTTCTTTTTTCGCCATATATTATCTAATTTTTCATCTTTATCTAGTCCTATTATATCCAGGCGACGTATTAATTCTTTAAATAAATCCCTTCAAAAAATTTATAATAAAAATTGATAATTTTTCTCAATTTCGATTATAGTCAGAGTCCAATCGTGTCATTTCAAAAGAAGATTTTATACATAAAAATTTGTATTACAGTCCCTTTTCACCTAATCCAAACTAGAAGTTGGACTAGGAGGAATTTGTAGAAGGACTTTAAGGGAGGATCTTTGAGGGAGGATTGATTGGACTTGGAGGGAGGATTGATTGGATTTTGAGGGGGGATTGATTGAAAATTAGAGCTGGAACGTAGATTACCGAGTACTTGGCAGGAAATAGTTCTTCAATCTCAAATATGAAATGTTTTTCAAAATCTTCAAAATAGATAATCGTAAAAAGAATGAACTCGGAGAGCAGAGTCGGATATCTAAAGTTCTAAACAGCTCTGGTCATGTTTCAGTGTACAACTAAAACACTAATATTGAGCTAAAATTTTCTATGAATTAAAAATATAAATTATCAAACTTATTTTTCGAATTCCCAATTTCCATTTTTAACTCTCCATTTGCTAAAGCCTTAACCCCAGATAATATTTTTAATGTTTTATCATCAACAAAATGATTTAATTCCTCAAAAAGAAAAACATGCTCATATAAATCATTAAGCCAAAATTTTGTTTCTTCATATTTTAAGAGGTTTTCCCAATATTTAGGCAAATCTTTTTTGACTTCTACACGAGATTTAAGCCATTTATAAAACACAAATATACTTGCAGCAGTTCTATTTTGTTCTGCTGTAATTTCATTTTCGTTAAACATATTTATTATATTTTGATTAAAATTTGTTATGTTGGTAAATGCTAAAATTAGAAAAAATTGAGATTAATAAATTAAATAATTCAATAAAAATTTACAGAAAAATGGCAAAAAATAATTTTTCTAAAATTGTCAGATGTCCGGGGACCTTGAATTCGACGTTTAGGCAAAGCTTTAGTTTTCACGAAAATAGGCAAAATTAATTACTAAATGCCAATTTTTCGGGCTTTATTTTTTAGTGCCGGCCCGACCGAGTCTTTTTCGGGCCAAAATTCAATGCCCAACATGATCTTTCGGACCGGACCGGACCCCCTAATCCTTTAATATTTTTATAAAAATCTCATTTAGAATTTTTAGGCATTACAGATTTTTGTTAGTACAAATTTCAGTTTCCATTTTTAAATTTAATATTAAAAACTTAATATCTTCGCAGAAAAATTTGTATTTTCTACTAATAAAAAGCTTGTTAAGTCGGGCTCTTCTTTCGATATTTTCTTTAATAAAATTCTTATCTTCAAAATTTTTTTCAATAAAGTTGTAATGTTCTTCTTCAAGAAGTATCTGAAACATGGTGTTTTAAGATAATTTTACCTAATTTTTTATGATTTTTAAGGTTAATTAATATGAAACCTTATGAGGTTACTAAACACTATTCGACATTATAACTAGAGTAAGTCGAGTACCGAGTAATTGGGAAAAAACCGATCTCGAGTAATCCGAGTATTATGATCCCAAGTTCCGAGTAATTACGTAAAAAACCCGAGCGGTCGAGTCGAGTAACTCGAGCTCGCTCGAACTCGACTTACTCTAATTATAACCACTAAATCTAAAAAAATTTTATTATAAATTCAAAAATGTGTCTTAAGAAATTATTACTTCACTTGAAAAATCACGGGAATGCTTGAAACCCAGAAAAATTGTTTTAGTCCCATTCCCTTTCTCTGTACGCCTTAATCTAATTAATAAATTTTTATCAATTTTTTAAAAACTTAAAGCAAAAGCAATTTTTCTTTCGATTCTTGATTGGGTCTCGAACTTATTTAAAAATTTTCGACTTTCGTTTTTTAAATTAATTTTTTTTATTTTTACAAGTCTGTTCTCAAATTTAAGAAGTTTTTGCTAAAAGTTATTTCGTTAGAAATAATTTTCAAAAATAATTAAAAATTATTTTAATTTAAAAATTATTTGTTTTAATTTAAAATTTTTATACTGTTTTCATTGTAAAGATTATTTTTCGATCTTCTTTAGTTACATTATTGTCACATTCCTTTCCTTCCCAGTTTCTTACTTCATTCAAATCAACCACATCCTGTTTATATCCTAATTTTTTATTTGCTTCATAAAGTTTTTCTGGTGTCGCCATTTGAATAAAATTAACCATTAAGCAGACGCTTTTGTAAGTATAAAATGAACTGTCGTTGGCAAAAAGTTGAGATTTGAGCCAGTTTAAACGATCAGAAAAAGCTTCAAGCTTTGAAGTATTGTCAGGATTTAACTATATGTAAATTAAACTTTTTTTATATTATTAAAGTCAACTTTTATTTTTCATGGCCACTTTGGGCTTAAATATTATAGTACATTATAATTACAGGTTGACCCAAAAGAAACTGCACACATTATTTTTGGCATAACTTTATTCAAATGAAAAATATTGGGCTCAAAAAAAGCTTAAATGATAGAGAAATAAATAAGGAACAAAAATTGTCAAGAATTTTCTATGTGCCTCACCCTTAATTGGATAAAGAGTGAAAGGCGCGATGAAGTAGCTTAAAACGGGTGCCGGAATTTTCGTCTCCGAAATTTTTCAAAATTTTCTTCTCCAGCGAAATATTCGTCACCAAGTCAAAAAACGGAATATTCTTCACTGGAATTTTAGGCACAAGGAATTGAAGATGTCGAGGTGAATTAGTTGATTTATTCAAAAAATCAAACTACGTAGACCTATGGGCGTCATCAAGGCACTTGTGCAAAATAGAATTAAATTTTATTTAATTCTGAAAATCTTTTACCTTTTTTACTTTTCCTGATTCTTTTTTTATTTCTTCAAAACTATTTTTAACTTTTTCGTACAATAAAGACACGGTCATGATGAAACTTGCGCTACTCGATTTGGTAGAATTAATTGGATGTATTAAGTAAGAATTATAATAATACAACCGCGTTTGTGTGAATATTTGATCTTAATTTTAAAGAAAAATCCGGGTGTTAATCAGGTGTTAATTTAACACCCGGTGTAATCCGGGTGTTAATCCAATTCTTTTCTAATAGTTCAGTAGTCACTTATAAAATTTAAACAAGTGTCATTCCCGTATAGCGAAGGCAATCAGGTTCATTTAATCTATACATATGTCCTTTGAAGTTGAGTTAGTTATTCCTATTTAAGAACATTATGGTTGCGGAAAGAATAGAAATAAAATTCACAATCTCTGGATAAATCCCATTCTTTTTTATGTAGTAGTTTAGTAATTTCATTATAAAATTTAAACAGATGTCATGACTGAATGGGGGAGGAAATCGGGCATATGTTGCTTGTAAATCTTTGTGATTCATATGGCGTTTGTCTAAGATCTCTTATTCATCTCCTATTCGTAAATCCGTGATCACGTAAAGTGGATTTTATTGGGATTAAGCCCTTTAAGGGATTGAGTAAATGGCTTAAAACCCGGTATTCTGAGGCGGGATCACGCACGTTACACTTCCCATGCGACAGGATGAAAATTATATACACAAAAGTACCTATTTTTAAAACTTCTGGATGTCTTTGTTCTAAAAGAATTAGATTTTCTGCATTCATTAATCCATTTAAATAATATTTTATTCTCATAATATCATTTTTACATAAAAAGTGCCGCATTCTGTCAGAATGTGTAATTATTGCATCGAAAACATCAAAATGAATATTTTCAGTGTTTAGAAGATGCTATAATTATATATTATGTTAAACGAGATTCGCTTAAAGTAGGAGCTTTCTTTTTTTTTTAATTTGTTATTTAAACATAAAATTGTTTAAACATGCGTCCTTATAACAATTGTCCTTATAACAACATTGACCTTAGAATTAGCCTTAATTGTTTGTATAACCCAACATTAACCCAAAAACAAATATGCACGAGAGTAGCAAAAAACGGGACCTAAAAAGAATATTTGGATGTTTTTGGATGTTTAAGGAGCCAGAATCGACCAAAAACTCAGAATATTTTATAAAATTTCTCAAAATTGTACGCGGGCCTGGCCCGAGTTTTTCAGATGCGACCTGGGCCGGGCTTCAGGGCTAAAAACCGCAAAAACCCAGAAAAACGGGTTTTATCAAAATACACGGTTTCCGGGTTACCGGGCCCGGAAAACCCGGTTCCGGGCCCGGCCCGAGTTCGAGCTCTAATTATTCCCTACATCCTTTTTACTTAAATTAATTTAGTAAATTTACCAATAAATTATTTAAATAATCAATCGAATTTTTGAATTCGCAATTACCCGGTCCATTCGGGACATTTTCAACATATTTTTTAAGTTCATTAAAATTTAATGTACTTTCATTATTTATTAAGTTAGCGAAATGGCCATTCCAAAGAAACCATTTTTTCAAAAATAAAAATATTTTGCATAATTTTAACTGAAATCATAAAATAAATTTGTTTTGGATGATTTTGAGGATATCCACGTATGAATGAGATTACCGTATACTCTGTGTATTAATTGTCCTTCTAAATACAGCATTTCTATTGATTACTAGAGCGTGTTTTTAGGTCCAAAAATCATAAAATATCATCCTATTTAGGTCCAAAAATTTTTAGGATCTAGTAACTTGAAATATACGCAACATCTTGCAACACTAAAACTACGTTTATTCGTCGTATCTCGTCAAGAAATCGCAAAAAATATGTAAAAACCTAAAAAAACAGTTTTTCGAAACAATAATTACCCCTCCTCTAATGTCATACCAACAGGGCTGAACGCAAGTGAAAGGTAAACGATTGCGTACAATCTGAAACCTCGAATACCTTCCTTCACTCGATTAATTAACCCCTCGATAATTACACTGGGTACAAAAAATTTGGTATTAAAATTCTATTTTTATAAACAAATTGTATTAATAAATTAAAGTTTCATTAATTTATCTACCTCCATATCGTCAATTGTTTTTTCAGAAATACATCCTACATTATTCCAATCTCTTAATATTTCCAAACGTTTATTTTCTTCTTCAAATTCTTTTAAATCTTCAGTTAATATTTTCGCAATTAAATAAACAAATTTGGATATAATAGCAGAAATATCCACTTTGTTGGTTGTGATGTTATGGTTGTGATGTAATGGTTGTGATGTACTGCTTGTACTAGCTTCATTTTGTTGATTAAGTTGTGATAAAAAATTTATGTAAATATCAATTGTTTCATTGGTTGGAATTAATTCATAACCAATAGCTAAAAGTTTTTTATTTAAATGTTGCTTTTTTAAATTAATTTTATTTTAAATAATACAAACTTTCAGGCTCATTATTTGTCAAGTTTTCATAATGTTGTCCTTCTGGGCATACAAACTCAATTGGATTGTATTTCTAAAATTATTCAATTGTATAATCAAAATATTATGCTTTAATAGAAATAATTTTTTATACAACTTTACAAGGCTTTTGGCATGGAATTTTATTTTATAAGTCTCACGCGACCGACAAAATTTACATGTTTTTATTAGTTACGACAATCGTGATAATGACCGTTTATTTATGAATTATTAACTTCAATAGTACCTTCTTCAAACCCCTCCCCCTTTCCCGCTCCCCCCTCCCCCTCGCTCTACTCTACTGAACGAGATTGTGACTGAGTCCTTATATTTTTTTCGGTATTTTTTCCGGGCTCGTTATTATTAAATCCTCACATTATAATATCCCGAATCATTAGTTGTTAGATATTCGCTGTCAATAGTCATATCTTTTATAGCTTCCAATCGTTCAAGTCTTGTTGTGTTTAAGCCTTAAATTTTATTATAAATTTAGACATTTTATCTAATTTTAACAAGAATTTATATTAAAGTTTTAGAAAGCCTATCGAAATAAAGTAATTAAAGCAGTTATTAAATATCGTTTTTATATAACATTAGATTTGGTCGGCCATTGGGTTTTGGGATCTGTAATAAAAATGTGGTTGTTATAAATAAGTTCGACTATAGATAATTTGAAAATTGGACATAATACAAATTATCAATGTAATTTATTTAAAATTATTCCACCTTTTATTTTTTCTTGAAATTTTGGATTAATTAGATTGTTAATAATCCAATTATGTCCATAATTTATGAATTCCCTAAATTCTTCAATATCTTTAATTTTAATACTATTTTGATCGTTTTTATCTAAACTGTCTATTAATTTATTTAACTCAGTTTTTAAATCATTTATTAATTTATTTTGTTCAATTTGATCTTTACTTGACTGATTTTCAAACAATTCTTGAATTTTATCATTTAAAAACACCTAAAAATTAATAAATTAATAGTGTAATTTATTAAGAATTTTCCATGACTTAGTAAAACCAACCATATTATTAATGTATCTTATACTATATCCGCACGGCACTCTAAACTTTTTTACTCAAACAAAGCGTTTTTTGTAAAAGTTAAACTAGTGATGCTCGCGTGCCAAAGGCGCCAAAAATTTTTATCATAAATTCCCGACTCCCAATCTCAAGGTCATTTTCGGACTTCCCGGGGTTTTTTTCTCCCAAGCATCACTAAGTTATACTATCTAGTTTTTGAATTTTTTTAAAATTTAGTTTCTTTTAATGTGAAAGGCAATCTAGTCACACGGAATAATACTCACATCCTTCATAATATCCAGATAAATTTCTTTTCCATTACTTCTAATTTTATAAATTTGGCCAATAAAATCATTTAGCTTGTCAAGGATATTTAAAAATTTTTGAAAATAATTTTTAATTATTTCTATTTTATTTTGTTTTAATCTATCAACATATAAGAGAAGTATTGGTATATATTTTTGCTTCCAAAAATCTTGAAGATCTTTAGGGAAATAATTATCTAACCAAAGAATATTTAAAATAATTGCTGAAGAAGCAATTGCACTGTTACGCTCTTCATTATTTTCTGAATCTAGTGCTTGTACATAATCCTCATAAAGCCATTCAAGTAGTTTTCCTTTATTTATATCTTAAAATAAATTTGATAAGAATATGTATCAGGGATACCACGGGTTACCCGAAACCCGACCCGAGATTTTTATATGTGTAAACAACTTGGCCAACGTCTTGGCCATCCAAATTCTCAAAATTTACGCCTGCTGCGCTGAATTTCTAATTACTCGATGATTTATTAATTTATACTAAAGTTGTTACCAGCCACAAAATTCATATCAGTGATACGCTTAGAATTAAATATGCTTTTAAACTTACCTTAATGATTAGATATTGGGATTTTACTAAC